TTTTAAAGATAAGAATACAGAGGCTCAGATAGAGAGCCATTTATCCAAAGGCATATAGCTATTTAGGCTAGATCCAGATCTCAAATACAATTTTATCTCAAGTAGAAAAAAGAATTCCTTTGTTCTATATATGTCATTTAGAATATGTGTGGTTTCTCCTCTAAGCTGAACTTTCCTTTGGCTAATTGAAGAACAGAATTGTCGAGATGTGGAGACACTCACTAAAGTGTTGCTCCCTCATCTCCTCTTCTTGTGACCATTGCTTTTTTTTTGGTACTAATACTAATAAGCAGGAACTTTGTTAGATGTCACTAATACTGAATGGCAAGAAGAGAGATGAAATAGATCGAAGCAAGAACAATGAGCTGACTTCCCAGAAGACCGAGTTCCGAAGGGGAAAGAGATGGTTGCTCAGTGTCAAAGGGAACTCAGGCTGGCCTGGCGTGTCACAGCACTGCCGGTGTGCAAGCCTGAGGCAGGTCCCTCTGATTTGTGCATTCCACATCCAGGCAGGCCTTAGGACTCCTAGGATTTGGCCAGTGCTGCATATTCAAGGGCACCTGAAAGAACACATGTATTCCACTTCAAATTGATTATTGCTGGGACTGAGCTCTTGGCATGATTTAGAAATGATGGCTGAATGAAACAAACGGCCCATCTGTAAAAACAGTATTTTTATATTGACCGAATAGTAACTCTGTATGAACCTGAAAGATCCTGCTCTTCACCTTCTGGACTTTCAAATATTTGAACTATTGGGCAAAAGATGATCTGTGCTCTCTTCCTAAGAATTCAAGGAGTACATACCTTTAAGCATCCAGAACAGAGGTTGGCACTCCTGGGTTTTTTTTTTTTTTTTTTTTTTTTAACCAAATCTAGTCACAGCCGTATTTTGTGTGGCTCTGAATGTTTTAGCGCTTATCATGACTAGGATTTCAAGCTTTGGACAAATCATCAAACAAAGCTGCAATGGGCTTTTATTCCTTCAGGCTGTCATTTTGAGTAGATAGTGGTCCCCTCTTCCCTCGCAGCCTATGCTTTCCACTTTCCAGTTGGCTCAATGCCTGGCCCTTCCCTGAGATATTGAAGCTCCATTTGTTTACTGAGGATTCCCTTCTAGGAGAGTGGGAGCCTCCTGGCTCCTGTACAGGTCTGAGCTAGAGACACCTATAGGCATCTCACAATCACTAACAATAGAAAGTGAACCCTCACATTGTTAGTAATTATAGCAGTTAACAGGAAAAATAGTCTCTTGTAGCATTTTTATTTTTCCTAAAGAAATGTTTCAAATTATACTTTAAAAAAAGTTACTAATTACTTCTACTTTGTTATTTTTTTCCCTTTTCAGAAAAAAAAAAAAGTTAATTCAGTGGACACAAGCACATTCAAATCTCAACCTGTCAGCATCCTGTGTATTTTCACTCGTCTGGGTTCTGAGAATACTTTTAAATAGCTTAGTCCAAAACAACACCAGTAAAAAAGCCTAAATAAAAGTAAAAATGATGTACTGATGAAAAATCGATTGCATTGATTCATCACTACCCATTTGATTAAAGAATTCTTAAATAAACAAAACAAAACAGTGGAAGCAGGCCATTTTTTCGGGTCACTCTGAGAGCAGAATTTTGGTTGGGTTATGGGCAATGGTAAGTATGGCTGGCAGACGAATAGAACATTGTTTTCTTCCTGAAACAAGAGTTTTTAGGCTCCTTATTGGCTACTGTGTAATTCCTGTGGTTAGATTTTACTGTGCCCCAGTGAGTTATCTCTTCATGAAGCAATGCAGTTTGCTCAACACTTATCATCCCTCCCCTCTCAATACATGTAGTTTCAGTATATGTATGCTAGTAGATTAATGGCTGATGTGGATTTCACTTTAAGAAATGTAATGACTCATGTAATGGGTTTGATATTTACAAAGAAATATTAGGCCTAGTGATAGGTTTTATGGGGTTGTCTGAATGTGAGTCAATAAAAAAAAACTATTTTTCAGTATAACACAACAATAAATATTGGTAAATGTTGGTATTAATACTAATAAGTATTAGTATAATAATATTAGTGGACTTTATTTTGCATGGAAAAGGAAATCTATTCATAAGAAGGGTATGATTTCTTCCTCACCTCCACCCTGAGAAATAGACATTTGAGGAAACTGAGTGTCTAAGAGTTTGGGACTTAGTGGCACATACCTAGGAAACAGGGAATCTGGGGTACAGCTCAGGAATTCTGACCCATCTGAGGGTCCTTGCATGACATTTTGCTGCACACACATTGGGGAACAGTAATTTTGGCTGTTGAGAAGAAGAGAGATATGTGTACCCCAAGATTATGACTTGAGTTGTTTTCTGTACTTGTTTTTAATTATCCTAATATATAAAGAGCCAGGGTCTGTAATGTCCAAAATGATTGACAGAGTGACCAAACGCCAGACTGCACATGCAGCAGGCTCGGGTGGGTGGAGACTGGTGAGCAGGCTAACCTGCTGATCTCCCTTTCCCTCCTGGGTGGTGGGCACCACAGTGATGACTTAGTACTAACTGCCGCCTCCAAGGCAAGTGTGATGTGATTGGTTGAGGGTCCTGCCATTGCCATTGATCACTCTGCAGAGGGAAGGCCAAGCCACTGGTTGGGGGCTTCACGATTGCCCCAAAGAGGGAGGCCCAGGCTACCCTGCCAGTAACAGTGGGCGGGGCCTCCCTCTGCAGAATGATCAATCACGGGGCTCCTGGACTGCGAATGGGTGCAGGCCAGACTGAAGGACACTCTCCCCCACTGAGTACATGAATTTCATGCATCAGGACTCTAGTAAAATATAAAGAAACACAAAATCCCATTATTGCTTTTACTCCATCAGTATTGGGGGATCTGAAATTTTGTTTGGACAGAACATTGCGGTTGAATGGAGCTTTTCTCTGTTTTTATGAGGAGTGAGTCTGGGAGTGTCTCTGATAAAATGGAGAACAGCTGCTCACTTCTGGGAAATAACCACAGCCCACACTCATGCCTGATAAGAAATCACCAAAGTAGTAACTTACTTTGAGCCAAAGTGTCATAAGGTAGCAACAAGGCTAGGAGCAGAAAGAGTGTGAGATGCATGTGTTGGAAACAAATTGACCTCAGCTTTAAAATCCAAGGACAGATATATGTTGGTATCAGTTAGAGAAAAGAGAGAGAGAGAGAGAAAGAGAGCAAGCTATATGTTGTGAGCAGAAAAGGGAGTGATAAATTAAACACATTCTTAAGGCAAGTGGAGGAAATGATCAAAATAACCACCAAAGAACAGCACAGTCTAAATCTAACTTTTTTCCCCCTTCCGGCGATATGTTGACATTGTTGAAAAACCTCACATCAGTACTTTATAAAACTGTAGATCTCTTGGGTTGAGCAATAAAGAATCCTGGTAATAGGCCTTCTAGAGAGCAGTGCTGTTGTGTGGGAGAGGAATGCAGGATGTCAGGAAAGGAAAGGAAGCTAACAAAGCTAACAGTCCATGATGTAAGCAAGTGATGAGAGCCTGGTAATGCAAACGTGAGCATGTGATATTCCCACGCTACTCGTTCTTCATGTGCAAAACCGAAGTAATTCAAAGCACCATTTTGAGGAGTAAAGAGATCAGTACCAAAATGCCTCAAAAATAGTGAGCGCTACATGAACTGCAGCTATTGTTCTTTCCACACACGCTTCCCTAACCGACAGCATGGTTTAAATTAGGAAAATGATGACCAAAGACCGTACAGGAGTGAAAAGATCTCCAAGTCTGGCAGGAAGGAGTTAACTGGGGTACCTAGAGGAAAACCTGGCCTGTTTTCTTCCAAAGCTCCTGCTACTCCCATTCTGCAGTTACAAAATGAGGTGATCTGTAAGCCATTGAAAGGTGATAATGACCTTTGCTTTCAAGTTTCAAAGTTAAGCCTTAGTTCCTTTGTTGCAGTAGTTTAATATACCCATCCTTCCTTCTCTTCCTCTGCTGGACTGAGGCATGGAGTAGGCATGCAATAGAGCCCAGCTCCCCCCCCTCGCCCCCCATGAACCCAGGACCAGGGCTGCTTTCCCATTTCCCCATCACTGCTCCAGCCTGCATCTCCCCATCATCTGAGACTAACTTGAGCCCCTTCTGGTGAGGAAACCGCATCATACTTCAAGATGCAACAGTCTGTAGTAAAATCATTGCTTTAAAGCCAAGGGAGGAAACACAGTTGCAAAAGAATCCTTTTATTTTTCTTGATCAAATTACAGGCATGATATGTGGGAGGAGAAAATATTCCAGTAAATATGGTATAGCGATGAGAGTCTGTAATATGAACCTGGTGTCTCAAAGGAAAATTCTTACATTTGTGGCCCCTGGGCAGAAATTTAACCCATCTTTACTCCACATTCCCCCCTCCCCCCCAGACTTGGCTGGAATCCCAGACAGAGGGCTGTGTTCTCTCTCTCTCTCTCTTTATCCCCTCCTCTGCCTTTCTCTTATGGCTTGTGCTGCTGTCGGCTGGCCTCTCCACTGTGTCTGTCCCTGTGCAGCACTATCGGAGGCCAGCTAGATCTAGACAATAGCCAGGTAAGGAGCAAGTGTGCCTTCCAACCTTTGATCTAATCCAACCAGTGTCAACACCAGACAGCTAGTTTCCTAGATTGCGCCTAACTCTGTTTACTTGGTGTAAGAGTGTGAATTAAAGTCCAGGTGTTAATGACTAAAGTCACTCACGTCCCTGAGCTGTGTGTGCAGTCACACAGTGGAGCTGGGATCCCAGGGCAGAGACTTGCAAGAGCTGCAAATGTGGTCAGTGGAAATGAACTCTCAGTTGAGCTCCGCAGCACGTGACTTCCTATTTCTATAAGGTACTTCCAAGAGACTTCCTCTGTAAAATCAGCCAAGTGCCCGGAGGAGGGAGATTTCATTCAGCGCCGCAGCCAAGTTTTTACTTCCAACTCCGGACAGAAGTTTTTCCCTGAGACACGGTGTCAGTTTCTTTTCTTTCTCTTTGCCCTGCCTCCGCCAGCTTGCAAGGATCTGGTGTCTCCTGTCCGTGATCGGAAGCTGAATACCCTGGTGCAGATCTCCGTAATCCACCCCTCAGAGCAGGGGCTGACAAGATACTCCAGCACGGAAATTGTGGAGGTGAGCATGCTGCACGCCCGCATTCCTCGCCTGCATTCCTCTCTCCCTCTCTCTCTTTCTCAATCTCTCTCTGGACTTGAGCAAGCAGCTGAAAGCAGTTAGCTCTCCCTATAGCATTAGTTATGCTGTGTTACTATCCCTTGTCATGTAGGAAAGCATTTTTTAGGTCATTCAGCATGCAAGGTAACTTCCCAGAATAAACAAATGAGGGAAGAATTTGCCTTTTTCATAAAAGACCTTATTTTTATTTAGTAAATAGAAAGAAACTCTCCCACTTGGAATCTTCCAAAAGGATGTCATAGATATAGTGTTAAATATGTAAATTATGAAATCAAAGTCCTCAGAGAAATTTTAAACCTGTTAAATTTTTTCCTCCTTTTTATTTTTCCTGTATTCCTCAGTCTGTCTGTGGAAACTATATTCTCAACTGTTTGTGACTGTCTTTTGAAAGGACAATATTTTTCAAAGAAAGGTCCATAATGATTTTTAAAAACTATAATGTTTCTAGGCAAAAGGTGTAACTATTACTCATCAGATGAGAGGCTTCCTATTTACATTTATTGTTACTAATATAACATTCAACCTGTGTCGATAGGAAACTTGTTATTGTGTTGGATCAGACTCAAACGAGGAAGTGTTTCCCTTTTGATTATTTTGTTGTTATCACACATATTCTACAACATTGATGAATGAGAGAGGACTCATTAGACCATCTGGGACTAAAGAAAGTGCATTTTGAACTCCTTCAGCTCTGCCTGCCTTTCTTAGACTAGTGAGCCCTGACTGTTTAGAATGAGTTTCTCTGTAAGAAGTGACCTCAGGGCTGCCTGGTTCAGTGCTGACCTCACGTCTTGATGCAGTTGGTGGCATAAATGATTCAGACTGAACTCCTTTCCTTTCTCTGATGGCAATGACCCAGGGCCTGCACACAGCCCTGAGTCTGCCCTGTGGAAACTTTGGCTTCCAATATGCTGGTATAATGTGTGGTGAATACTGTAATTAAGCAAAATATGACCTATTCATTTAAAGAAAACTGAAATTGTAAAATGGTTCACTTATGTGAAAAAATTTTAAGTATTACTTCAACTTCATTATTTTTGAAATAGTGCCAAAATACAGAAATTATTTATTTTGACATACTTCCAATTTTATATTTGGTTCTATAGTTGTTTGGGGCTGTTTTATTCACTTCCTGTTCTAAAGCATTTGACACAGTGAGGAACAAAAGTAGTATTTACTGAATAAAAAGAAGAAAGAATAAGTGAATAAATTAATTATTTGGGCTTTCAGAAACTTTTATAGACAAATGGTTTGCAAAACTCGAGCAAACATCTTAATAAGATTCAGCAGTACAGGGTGGGGTGAAAAGTAGGTTGACAATTGTGAGTACCTACACAAAACAGTTTATTCTTGTATTCTTATTTATTAATTACTTTCCATATTAACAACTTTGAACCTATGTTTGCGCCACCTTGTATAGATATTTAAATGTAGATATAAAATTTAATGTTGGATATCAACTCTCTAAATATAAGTTATGAGACACTGAGATATCCTGAGCACCCTATCCTGAGCTAGACATTTCATAGCTCAAATCCATCACACTTAGTTTCTGTCATTAGTTTTCTAGTCTGAGGAAAACACACTCAGCAGAACATCTAAAATCAAATGGGCATTTCAGAGCATGGCTCTCCATAGCATCATTTCAGAAAGGAAATAAATGGACAGCATACGCTTCCCAAATAGTTCTTCATGAGAAAATTGCTTCATCTTAATTTGATTAGTCAATATCTTAGTTTATATGCATAAATTACAGGTTATATGCATGGACTGTATTCTAAATTGACTAAACAGCTGACCCCAAAGAAGGGTTCTGCATATAATGAAAATAACATTGGTTTTCAAACTGTTAGCAGCTCTGACAAAGAGACTAGGACATTTACTATCAACAGCTATATTAGTTCTTTAGAGCCTTGGGCCATATTGTGGCCTCTGAGCATTATTTGGTAATTCAGATCTTTCTTCATAGAACTATTTCCTAGAAAAACAAGCACCCATACACACTTTCTGCATTCTCATGTGTCACTGCGTGCTGCTCACTGCAGTTGCTGCCTTGTTGAATTAAAGTTGTCTGCGTGTGCTGTTACAGGGAACAAGAGACCCACTGTTTTTGACGGGTGTCACTTTCCCATCTGAGTATCCCATCTATGAGGAGACCAAAATAAAACTCACAGTCTATGATGTCAAGGATAAGTCTCATGATACCGTAAGTACTTGTACTGCTTTTTTTTTGGGGGGGGGGGAAGGAGTTGTGCTTTTCCCAACTATTAATTGTGTGTGTGTGTGTGTGTGTGTGTGTGTGTGTGTGTGTGTAGTTTTTCTTTTTTAATGTAACTGGCATTTTTCAAAGATGGTGTTTGTATTGTATTGATGCTTGTCTGATGCTTATAGTTTGCTAGGATTTTTTTTTTCAAAATTCATTTGGCTTAACACCAAATTGTCAATTGGGTTAGAGCAAAAGCTTTCAGAACAGATTTTTCTCTTTTTCAGGAAGACTGGCTTGATCTCTTGGTTGATAATTTTGTTGTTGTTTTAAGAAGTTGCTGAAGGGTAGAATGTGAGTAGAAGAAATGAAATAATGGCTTAAAACTGTTTTGGTATTGTAATTACTCTAAAATGGATTGACAAAGTGTTCTACTTTTGCAATTTATTCTTTTACATAATGTATAGAGAGACATTCTCTCTGTATTTCCGGAAGTTATTCCTGGCACGAAAGCAAACAGAAGGTAATGCAAGTACTAGACAGAAGCTTTAATTGTCCTCTTTCCATGAAAGTCATATAAAAAAATCCCAATGATTATTTTGTCCTAGATTCGTCAAATCTTCCTACCTAGTCTGACTTTTCCTCCACTTGAACCAGACTTCCTGGGTAGACAGTGAAGTGCCCAGGCAATATTTCTGGAGGCTTTTCTTAAAATTTCTGGACTGGGAGAATGCTATTGGGTAGTCTTGGTTGATAAGGGGGAAATTTAAAAAATGAGCCTTTTCTTTTAAGTCTCTCCCTTTAGCATGAATTATTATTGAGGATATGGAAGGGAAAGAGGTTTCAGAAAGGGTCTGCTACAGGAATTATTAGTCTGTTTTCAAGGCGGGGGTCTTGATGGTCAGCAGGGAAGCACAAACAAGGAGACACTTTGAAAGCAGGTGGGCCAGTGGGTTCTGGATGAAGTCCAGGGATGCTGCTGGACCCAGGGAACCACACAGCACCTGGTCCAGGGAACTTAACTTGAAACTCTGCCTTCACTTAGGCATTTCTATCTTGCTCCTGACTCCCTTTTCTTTCCATTCTTTACCATAACATATATGGCATAGATGAATGGTGGGGGTATTTAATGGAGAAAACTTCTACACAGCTGAAACCGGCTTGGCTCAGTGGATAGAGCCTCTGCCTGCAGACTGAAAGGTCCCAGGTTCGATTCTGGTCAAGGGCATGTACCTTGTTTGGGGGCACATCCCCATTAGGGGGTGTGCAAGAGGCAGCTGGTCAATGATTCTCTCTCATCAGTGTTTCTAACTCTCTATCCCTCTCCCTTCCTCTTTGTAAAAAATCAATTAAAATATATATTTAAAAAAAGAATTCTACACTGAAGCAATTTCTACTCATCTTAGTTCCAGAAAAGTTCATTTCTTTAAAGTTGCAGCAAAAATGTTCAATGAAATACACGGCATGTATTTTGTAATAGATAGGGATAAATAATCAGCTTACTCATCAATAATAGAAATAGTTGTGGTGGTCTGGTAAGTCTATTACAAAGGCTGACTGTCTGGCTCCTATTATGTTGACAAGTTTTGTGAAGCTGGGAGAGTTTATTCTCAGTGTTTTCTTCATTTATAGTACTTACCTCATGGGATTGTTGTAAGGGTTAAATAAGTTCATATAGGTAAATTATTTAGAAAACTCATAAATAGTAAAACTCAAACAAGGGGATATTAACTAAATTCTTTTTTATAGTATAGTTTTCCTAAGTGGCATTATATTATTTCTGACTTTCTTAAAGAAGAAGGGAAAGATAAAAATACTTTGCAACACAAAATTGTGCTTAAAACTGGCAACTAAAAATGTTTTCTTTGGCAATTTATTTTTTTCTTTCTTTTATTTTTCTTGATTTTTGAGGCCACCTGTGGAAAAGGAATGGACTGATCTAGACCAGGTTCGGTAGACTATGCACAAGGCTAGGTGCAGATGGATGGCTGTCCCTTTTTTATTTTTTGCCTTCTGGGAAAGAACAGAAAAATGAAGTGACTGGGGAGGAATCATAAAGTTGGGAAGGACAGTAAGATGGCTCCTGTGGGTGGTGGGAAGAGGTAATATAACTGTGCAGAGGAGTAATAAGCAGAGAAATGATCAGGATGAGAGGGAAAGCAAAGCAGTAACCATGGTTTTTATGTTCTTCTAAGCACATGATCAGATTCAACCTTCCCTACAGACCCGAGACATAGACAGGATTGAGGATATGGAAGGGAAAGAGATACAGAAAGGGTCTGCTACAGGAATTATTATGTTGTTCCTAAATTCTTGGGCTTGAGAAGTTTTCAGAAATATCAGCATAAGAAATATTAAACACCAAAGGTGTGTTTCTCTCCTTCAACCTCTCTCGTTTACAGTGTGCAGTATGTTACTGCTTTAGGGATAAATAATTAGCTTACTCATTCATTATGCTTTGTATTGCCTTCTATTTCTGGAAACTAATTCTTCAGGGTCTTTTAGTGTAAATAGTAACACAGTTTATCAATTTGCTAGTAGTCCCCGGGGACATAGACTTTCGATACTGGCCTTTTTCTTTCATTTCTGAAGTTTTTCTTTGAGGTGGGAATGGGGTGGAGAAGGAGGAGGCAGGAAGTGTGTTTAAAGTACAGTTTATGATTAGGAACACTTATTAACCTAAGTATTTTAAGATCATAATACTTTTAAGGCTTAAGAAGTAAGATTATGCATAGTTATGTTTGGGGAAATTAATGAATTGTGTGCGTGATTTAAAGGTAGCTTTAATATTTGCTCCTAGTAACCATTGATCATATTAGGCTAATTCAGGACAATGAAGTCTGTTTATTTGCTGAGTTTTAGTTCATTGAGTCCGGTGATTAAGTTGCTTATCTTTTCCTACTGAGCTTATGATTATTTCCTACTGAACTTATGATTATATAAGCAATCAAATAAATTTGTTACTTTGCCATTGCATATTCTTTTACAGAAGTATTAATATATCTTACTAAAGAGAAATAAGTTGTCATTTGTGCCTTCCATACAGCCATTATCAAAGTAGTTGTTGTTCTTGTACTCCTCTACACAACTGGAGCTGAGATTGATTATTTTACTAAGGTTAGTAGAAATGCAATTAATCATTGTAACAAATGAGAAGGGTCTAACTGTTAAATGAGAATGGCTATTGTTTCCTCCTACTCCATCTTTCAGCCTTCCCATTTATTGCAGTGTGAGGAGGTGCGGTATGGGGGTGGGAAGGTCATTATGAGAATTAGAGTGGCTTATTATTTCCCTCACCATGAGGAAATTATCTGTTTTCTAACAATGGGCTAATCAAACATCCAGCTGTTTGGTGGGGACTTTAAAGCTTGATCTTAGAGCCCAATGATAGAATATGAGAGCCATGTTCTTGGGGTGAAGTCGCTGCCTTCTGGATATTTGCTGGTTGTATGCTGTATTTTAAAGTTCCTGGAAACTGAAAAAGCAGACAGGAGTGCTTTCAGCACATCATTCACAGTGCTCCGCCCTAGGGACTAAAGTGGGTTTTTCGTAAGTTACAGAAAAAAATCTCAGAGGAAGAAGAAGTTCTTAGAGGAAGAGAACACCACCATCAACGTTTGTCTCTTTTTCCCTTCTTGCCATGCAGTGATATTTTGGAAGGTAGTGAACAGGGCTCTTATAACACCCAGGTTAGCACAGCCATAGCTCTGCAAAGCCTGATTAGGTTACAGAATTGTTTTGCCCATGGTAGAAATTTGAATTTCTCCTGTATTCTGTAGGAGTACACATTGCTCCATTGCTTTTGCTGTGGGGGTGAATGAATCTCCAACTTGTTATGTGTTCAGCTTATAGGACAGATTTCCATGTCCAGTAGGCACAGAACATTTCTCAGGGGAGGATATATATTTGAATACATTTTTTAATACCATTTACTAGCACACTCCCCCCCCCCGCCAAAAAAAAAAAAAATCTGGTCATTCAGAAAATGTGTACTCATCAAGATTGGATGCAAATTTATTGCATTGTGTGTTCTATTCCAAAACAATTCTAGTACAATTTTCTACATAGAAGCGTCCCGTTCACTTTTATGGAAAATTAAATCACTTACATTTAATACCCTTTGACTTGGTTTGATTTTCTACACTGACTTCTTACAACTTTAAAACTGCTGAGATGCAGATTCTGTGAGCTGGCCTTCTTCTCTATCTAAAAGATATGATGCATTGGGTAAGGAAAATGAAGTTGAGATTACTGATTAATAAGTACACACAAAGCACTCTGTTTAATATGTTATATATACTTTCTTTTTTAGTCTCCATAAAAATTATTTGAGGGAGCCTAAACCCATTTGGCTCACTGGATAGAGCGTTGACCTGCAGATTCAAAGGTCCCAGGTTCGATTCAGGTCAAGGGCATGTACCTTGGTTGCGGGCACATCCCCAGTAGGGGGTGTGCAAGAGGCAGCTGACCTATAATTCTCTCTCATCGATGTTTCTATCTATCCTTCTCTCTTTCTCTCTGTAAAAAAAAAAAAAAAAAAAAAAAAAAATCAATAAAATACGTTTTAAAAAAATTCTTTGAGGGAGGTATCATGTTGCCGTTTAAAAAAGTGAAGAAATTGTGATTCTGAAAACTTAAGTAGGCAAGTCAAAGACCTTTGTGCTGTGATACATATATTGTTTATAGGATTTCCCCCATTTTCATTTCAACTGACACTTTTAAAGCACTCTTGATTTATAGCTTAAAAACTGATTAAGTGAAAAAAAAATAAAAGATCAGTGTTTAACTATAGGAAAAACACTCATGTCCAAAATTCTGTAGCACTGTTATTAAGCATGGAACTAATTGCTGATATCTGAATAAATTTTATAATGAAGTGGACAACTACTGTTCATGAAAAAAGCAGCTATTGTCACCTGATTCGAAATGGCTCAGTTTAGGTCTTAAACTTACGTTTTTGCATCCCCTGATCTTGTTTTTCCTTTTCTTTTACGAGTACTTTG